AGATATTTACAAAAAACAGGGTCCACATGCATTTCATGCCAAACTATAGTTCAAGTTAAGAACATACGATGCACTGTCTGCATACTCGCATACTCCTACACTTGTACACCAGATAAGATGGTATGGTATGTCAGTGGGCTAGCACTCTAAAACCAGCTTAAGTCTGGTCTAGTACAAGCAGCCGCACATACACATACACACACATGCACGTAGTCATATGAGCGAAATATTCTCAAGCACGACGTTAAAGCCAACTTCACCTCACCTCACCACATGGGTACAATGTGTGAAGCCCATTTCTGGTGTCCCCCCGCAGTGATATTGCTGGAATATTGCTAATAGCGGCGTAAAACTAAACTTACTCACTCACTACTTTACGAGACGACATTGTGTTATCATGTACTTTCCAACACACACCCTGCATTGAAGATGTGTAAGAATGGAAATGATTTTGGGCGACTTATAACAATATCATTGACTATACGTTTTGTGACTCATATATACATCTCATACTCAACCATTACCATATACTGAGAGAAACAAATAAAGGAACACAGGAAATTCAAGCGTTCCCTCAATATTTTGAAGTTTTCATCTCCTGTCTTTAATAGCGCTGTTGGAGGAATTCTGAGAATAAATAAAGGAACATTGCCATGAAGTGGTGTTCCCTTTTTTGTTTCCCTCAGTATATAATTCCCAACAGATAAATGGATCTGTATCTGAGGTATGTTCTTTTTAAAAAAATTCACATATTTATCGCCAAGCCCTTGGACATGAAATAAATACCCCCACACGTGTTGCATTTTTTAAGCTTCATATCGACGTTCTATAAAACCCATTGTTATCCTGAAACATGATAGCAATACAATAGGTCGACGATTGCTAGGTAAGCAAAATGTTCACAGACAGCTTCAGTGACGTGAGGTAATGGTTTGTGTGCAATAAGTTACTCTATTAAATCACGTTCATAGCGTTATTCCTTTGTTTCAGCACACCATTATGTATATATGAGGGAGAGTTATCAGTGAGTGAGTGAGTTTACTTTTACGCCGCACTCAGCAATATTCCAGCTATGTGGCAGCGGTCTGTAAATAATCGAGTCTAGACCAGACAAGCCAGTGATCAACAATATGAGTATCGATCCACGCAACGGGGACACGATGACATGTGCCAACCAAGTCAGCAAGCCTGACCACCCGATCCCTTTAGTCGCCTGTAATTACGACAAGCATGGGTTACTGAAGATCGGTTCTAACCCGGATCTTCACGGGTCAAACTTGGATAGGAATTACGGTGAAATGAGAGTTATCAGTATTGATGCTAGGTAATGGATTGTGAATACACAATGCCATTTAGTTCATTTAGTGTTTAAATGTAACGCAACCCAACAAAAGTACTAGAATCCCTACTTTACTAAGAAACTGTAGTCCCAAATTAACATGTTTTAGGTAAAGTAGTCTAACATCTAGTCTCTGAAATGAACATAGTTTACAGAAAAAAGCAGTTCCTAAATTATAATCATAAAATGAAATATAATCATAAAATAAAATATAATCATGAAAGGAGCTCAGAGACTTGAAACAGTGGAAATCTAGACTAAATGTCATAATCTAGACATGCATGGGCTTTCTTGGATATATTTGTTTCAGGTACAGGTTGGGTAGCCTAGTGTTTAAAGCGTTCGCTCGTCACACCGAAGACCCGGGTTCGATTCCCCACATGGGTACAATGTGTGAAGCCCATTTTTGGTGCCCCCACCATGATATTGCTGGAATATTGCTAAAGCGGCGAAAAACTAAACTTACTCACTCACGAATGTGCGCCTTATGGCCATATTGGAGACTAAATGCTTTTATAAATTACATCCTCAAATGTACAAGGTTCGTCTTCTTTATGTTCACATTCAGTTCCTGCTTCCGCGTCGGAGCACAGAGAACCTGATTAATAGGGGTTTCGGATTGATAGGGTTCCTTTAGTTATAAATTTTACCTGTTACCATTTGATATTCGGGGGTGATGGGCCTTTAACAAAATACATTTTTCAAAATGTTTGTAAAAAGGAAATGCTAGAGACTTGTGAAACAGATTAATTTTTTTGTAATAATGAGTGAGTGAGTGAGTGAGTAAGGTTTTACGCCGCTTTTAGCAATAGTCGAGCAATATCACGGCGGGCGACACCAAAAATGAGCTTCACTCGTTGTACCAATATGGAGAATCGAACCCGGGTCTTCAGCGTGACGAGCGAACGCTTTAACCACTAGGCTACCCAACCGCTCAACCGTCTATTCCAGCTCATGCTCCTACCCAAAAAAATACCAGATGGTATGATGTCTTCTCTATCATGAACGTGTGTTTTTGAATCACTTTCAAATAGTGATGATGCCATGTGTACGCGAAAAGATGAGCGTCCTTTCCCCACCACTGGCAACCTTCATAAACACAAGCAAAGGCCGGTCACTTGTTCACAGAAAAACACACAGGAACGTATGGTACAAGTCAAAATAACGACAGACACTTGTCCTTTTGTACAAGACGCCCAAAAATATATCAGGGAATAGTTTTTTCCCAAACGCCCACTAGCCTGACGTGATATTAATATGGCCAGTGTCAAAACCTGCATAACAAGCAATAGCAACTGATATGTTAAGTCCAATAATCCTTTTGTCAAATAATCCTTCAGCCCAATAATCCTTTCGCCCAGTAATGCATCAGTCCAATAATCCTTTAGCCCAATAATACATCAGTCCAATAACCTTTTAGTCCAATAACCCTTTAGTCTAATAATCCTGTAATCCAATAATCCTTTAGTCCAATAACCCTTTAGTCCAATAATCAGTTAGTCCAATAATCAGTTAGTCCAATAATTCTTTAGTCCAATAACCTTTTAGTCCAATAATCAGTTAGTCCAATAATCCTTGCAAAGATAACATGAAGCAGAACCCTTACAACTAGCAAATGTCTACGATACCTTACCTGTTGGGCAGTTTGGAGAAGACTGCAGGAAAGGTGTCAATTTCTATGCTTTCAATATATATTAAAATAACAATATTGTTGCAGTCGACAGAGATTTTGATATTGACAAACTTGCTCATACGAAATTGGGGCTGGCTAATAAGATCGACAATCGGAAATATCGTCGATAGGGAAAATTATCAAAGATTATCGATATGAAAATAGTGTCATCAAAATGATCGATCATACACTTTTGTGATAGAATAAAGTTCTTATTGACTTACATCATACTTAAAATGGGGGTTTTATTCATTGGCTGCTTCTAAATTTTGTTCAGGACACTGTTTTGTGAGTAACCCTTGCATTAACATGTCACCACTCACCAGTGGTGTGAAATCTATACATTTCTCCCTGTGATCCATATCCCTAAAGAATGTTTCTTGCATCAGCTAAAGCAGTACAAACAACTAGTTGGTGTTTTATTTTATCATTGCACTCTTCATTACACATTAAACACTAACCAGGTGTTATTGCAATTGGTAGCATAGCATTCCTAGTTTTACAAGTGCACACACACGTCTGAGTGGAATAGTGTATACAATACACATATTCCACAGTCTATGTGGAACACGTTTATTGTGGATTCTATCAAATCTGCACAGTTCAGGGCGATCATGCATGCCTGTGTGCCAATTAGCAGTTTCATGTTATCTAGTTTTGTTCCAAGCCTCCTTGGATGGAAACCGGTAATTTATTCCATAATTCATACTTCTTTGCTAAATTGAGCAGATCGTGTTACGGACTCACATTTGTAACTGGATGTTATATACTGAGAACACTTGAAATAGAATATCTTTCAAATGCATATCTGTGAAATCTCTGATGAAACTTTGCACAGTTCGTGCAAGGTATCGCTGGGTATTTTTTCTGTCCACGCTGGGTATTTTTTATGTCCACAGCTCACTCGCTTAGGAGGCACACGGAATTATTTTCTTCGCTAAATGGCAACACAACAGACTGGGTTTTGACCACAGTCCAATATCTCTAAGTGAGTTCCAATTTTTCTCGCCGAGCTCTCGTACTCCTTTCAATCACTTATAAATGAACCTGGTATATTGTGTTCCACACTATGGACAGTATGTGATTACCCAGGCTGAAAGGGCATGACTGGTCAGTTACGTTTCCAAGGTGACCCTTAAATACTATTATATGCTATTATATACTTTCCGCCATTATTTGGCTGGGATATTGCTAAAATCGACGTAAAATTCATTATACAAGTTAATTATTTTATCAATCCAATTTAAAAATTACAAGCAGCTTGATCTCGCTTTATGTCTCATCACTTGCCACGTCTAGTGACACTGAAGTTTATGTTTGGTGCTGTAGTTTTGTTGCTACTTTACACAGTATGAACATATGTGGCGGTTGTTAATAATATATGCACATTCTTCCTACAGTATCAGTAACACTAACCTTCAAGCACATTAGTTTTTCAAATTCAGGTCATCTGCTATCGAGTTTTCAGGTGTTGCGGAGCAACGTGAAGATTGTCTTACCGCAGTTTAATAAAAAGCATAAACCTAGAGCTGACGACTCCACAGTTACTAACCCAGTATGAAAATCACCAGATCGTGGTTCGTTGCTTTGGTGTTTTATTGCGTTTGTCTGTTGGTTGTATACAACGTCATCGCACCCAAATACTCTGTCAAATTCAAAGCTGGAAAACCGAATTACCCACGAAACCAAATCCGGATAATCAATCGAGCAACGGCGCACGGATTGTACTGTCTTGAGGAGAACATATGCAAAAACAGCACCGAGGGGAAAGTCTATACCTACGTACGACATGCTAATTTCTACGATCTCATCGAACGTGTTGACTACAAGAAAAACATCACCCACAAGAGTGAAGTAGTTCCTCGAGTCGTTCATTACACGTGGTACGGAGGGTTAAAAAGAGGAAATAACTTCCGGTTCCACCACATGCTCGCTGTTTTGTCAGCCCATAAATTCATCAAACCCAGCAAAATCTATTTCTGGCACGATATGGTTCCGACCAGAGATTACTGGAAAGAGTTGAAAGCAAAGGTTCCGGAATTGTGCCTTGTTTTCCGGAAAGAACCGACGGAAATTCGAGGCCGGAGAGTCCAAGTTGCGGAACATATTACTGACGGGGTTAGACTCGAGGCAGTGATGGAATTCGGGGGTTTGTATTTTGATTTAGATGTCATGATACTTAAGCCCCTAGATCCCCTCCTTAAATTTGACGTTGCCATGGGATACGAGACGTCAAGGGGGTTGTGTAATGGCATAATAATTGGTACGGCATGGGCCGAGTTTTTCAAGATCTGGCATAAGGAATATAAGTCTTTTCAGGATGATCAATGGAACTTCCATTCTGTGAGAACTCCCGGGAGGCTGGCGAAACTGTACCCCAACCTGGTGCACACAGAGGCCACATCTCTTCACAGACCCAACTGGAAGGAGCTCGACAAGTTATATGGTGTTGGGAAGCTTTATGATTGGAAGAAAAATAATTACGCCTGCCATTTGTGGATTCGGATGCATAAAACGGAACATAATCCTACCGATATCAAAACTTGGAACACTACTGTTGGAGAAATGTTCAGGTGGGTCTGCTATGGCGATTGGAAACTGCAGTTGCCAGGGCAACACGTCAATCCCACGAACTGCCCTAAAGAAATCGTGTATTCTTAACAACATTTGCAGGACGAATGACAGCTCGATAGTTTATACCTATGAGAGGGAGAACGATTTTCTCAAAAATATCGATTCCACTGTGGATATCAAACGAAACATTTACCATCAAGAGAAAGTCATCCCAAATATTGTTCATTTTACAAGGTATGGCGGATTAAAGAATGGTAATGACTTTCGGTTTCATCAACTTATTGCTTTTCTAGCAGCTCACAGATTTATCAAACCGGATCACATACTGTTCTGGCACGATTTGGTTCCAAGTGGAAATTATTGGAAGGAATTGCTTCTGAAAGTTCCAGAAGTTGTACCTATGTACCGCAAAGCGCCGTCTGAAATACGTGGCAGAAAAATATCAGTTCCAGAGCATATGGCTCATGTTGTGGGCTTAGAAGCCTTGCTAGAATATGGTGGTGTGTATTTAGACCTTGATGCTATTGTTCTCAGACCCTTGGACCCCTTGTTGAAATATGACGTGGTGATGGGTGACCATCCAGATGGTTTATGCAATGGAATAATAATAGGGAAACGATATGCCGATTTCCTGAAGATTTGGCACTGGGAATTCAAGACATTCGATGACAGAAACGGGACTTCCCATTTCGTAAGTATGTCAGCACATGTAGCCGAAGAACATCCCAACCTGATTCACATAGACAAAACGTCCTTGCATCGATCTGACCATTCTGAAGAGGACGCTTTGTTTTTGGAAGGAAAGCTGTTTAACTGGAGGGAAAAATATTACGCTGTTCACCTCGGGATACAATTTCATAAAAGTGAACACAACCCCCAGGATATCAAATTCTGGAACACTTCTGCCGGTGAGATATTTAGATATGTCTATTACGGAGACTGGAACATGACACCCCTTCCTACAAAAAGAAAACTATGCATTTACGGAAATTTGTGCAAAGACAAAGATTCGGAAAAGGTGTACAAATACATACGCCTTCCGGATTTTATGAGTAGGGTAGAATCTAATGTGGACCTAAAGCTGAATATTAGCCACAATGAAAGGATTGTTCCAAGTATTTCTCACTTTACCTGGTACGGAGGTAAAGCTAAAGGTAACAAGTTCCGGTTCCATCACCTACTGTCTGTTCTAGCTGCTCATAAGTTCATCCAACCTGAGAAGGTCCTGTTTTGGCATGACATGGTTCCAGAAGGCCCTTATTGGACAGAAGTTAAAGAAAAAGTGCCAGAACTCACACTTGTGTCTCGAGCTCTTCTGAAATCCGTGGTAGAAGAGTTAAAGTTGCTGAGCACCTGACCGATGTGGTTCGCCTGGAAGCGGTTATGGAATATGGTGGGTTCTACTTCGACCTGGATGATATGGTCCTGAAACCGTTAGGCCCTCTGCTTAACTATGACGTAACGATGGGGTATGGAACCCAAGATGGTCTCTGCAATGGAATAATGATAGGAAAAGCTTGGGCTGACTTTTTTAGGATATGGCATAAAGAGTATAAAACATTTAACGACAGTAACTGGGCTTACCACTCAGATAAACTGCCAGCGATTTTGGCTAAGAGATACCCAAATCTTATGCACACAGAAGCTACATCTATGCATCGTCCTAACTGGGGCGAGCTGCCCTTGTTGTACAACGAAGGGCGTCTGTATGACTGGCGGACTAAAAATTATGCTGTCCATTTGTGGATTCGGTTTCACCACCCTGAACATAATGCCACAGATATAAAAACCTGGAACACTACCACTGGGGAGATATTCCGCCATATATACTATGGTGACTGGAGGATACGTGCATAGTGACGAGTGACTTTTAGTATAAAGAACATGCCATCACCTAGGGCTGGCTGAAAAGATGGAGAACGTGTGAAGGTCATGATGGGGGAACGTGTGAAGGTCATGATTGGAGAACGTGTGAAGGTCATGATGGGAGAACGTGCGAATCAGAATGTGAACTCGGCGATCGATCTTGATATTTTCTGTGTGTTGGGTAATAGGGTGTGGACTCGTGGTGGTGGTGATTGAACAGCGTTAGTGACCACCTTATTTTGGGGCATGCGGAAGGAGCTGAAATTTCGTATATTTTTTTTAATAAAGCTTGTTGGCATGGTCTTCAGCAGGCTGTTTTTCGTACCAGGCGACGAATTGGAACTATGTAATCCTATCAATGCTAATGGTTTAAATCACTGGATTGTCTGGTCCAGACCCGATCATATACAGACCGACGTCCCCTGTGCTGTTGAGTTGTGGTTGCAAACAACGAACAGTACCCAGGAACTGAAATATTTTTTCTCTTTAACCTAATGATCAACGTTAGTTTGTAACTGATGCAAATCAGATACTACCGCTTTTGTTTCCGAATGTATGTATAGGAATATTTTTAAGTTAAAATCGTTTTTCTCTTTGATATTCTCATATATTTTCATTCTTTATATATTATCACCCTTTGTGTATTGGAAAATCTTTCCTTAACGGGCAACGTCAAATGTATCTTTAAATACATATTGTTTTATGTGAATCCAAACTCATGTTGAGTATTTTTGATAAAGTATAAGACTATGGCAACAGATTGCATTTATTCTTTTAACAGCTTTATGCTACACTGATATCTGGCATGTGAGACGAGATGAAATGAGGTTTAGCGTTGTGATAAATGCACCTATATATACTACAAACAAAATGTATGGGACCACCCTCATATTTGACAGTCATATATCAACTTAAACGTGGTGAGGTCACTTACACTCGAAGGTAAAGTGCAACTTTTTGTGTACTTAATGGGCACTTTAAACGACACGAACATGTTAGAAGATGCAGTGAAGCAACTCATTCAATATTTGTTAAGTGTGAATGAAATGAAACTTTGTCAAATACAGAGAAAATCAAGGGTGCACACCAGCGCCATATTAATGTTCATGTGTTTATTATGTTTATACTGACAGCAAGTGTTGTCATAGCCTTAAAAATCACTATATTTAATCCAAAATTATTGTGGTCATATTTCAATAATACTTACTGACTGACTGAGTTTAGTCGCTTTAGCAATATTCCAGCAATATCACGACGGGTGACACCAGAAATGGTCTTCACACATTGTACCCATGTGGGGAATCGAACCCGATATATATAATATAGCTACATATTTGTGTTGGATTATATTTATATATATTATATCTATATATTTGTACTCTGGTACGACCTCCCACGTATTTATGCCACTGGCGTTGAAATGGATTTCTTCCTTCCAAAGTCTTAAGTCCAAAAGGTAATGAAAAATATGACATATGATTGTATATCGTTGTAATCAGATACTTTCAGTGTCAGGTTCCTGTTTAACTGTGGCCGCCACAAGTCTCGAGCTTCCTGGTAGTCACCATTAACCGAACCCATTATGTTTCTACAACAGTGAGTGAATTTAGTTTCATGTCGCTTTTAGCAATATACCAGCAATATCACGACGGGAGACACCAGAAATGGGCTTCACGCATTGTTACCATGTGGGTAATGGAACCCGGGTCTGCGGCGTGACGAACGAACGCTTTAACCACTAGGCTACCCCACCGTCCGATTATATAACAGCTTGTTTTTATGTAACTCTTCCTGGTGTTTATGTTATACAAGTCTCAGTGCATCCGATTTACATATCATATTGTAATACATACATTGTATTATACACGTGCATTTTATCCATATTTGACTTAAAACCTAATTATATTTTATAATTCTATAATTAAAATTTTAGAAAATGCTCAAAGGCGTTCAGATTTTGGGAATGCTATGCTGAGGCTGTGAGACGATAGCTCAATTAAATAAACCAAATATTTATTCCATTTTGTAAACACGTTTTCTAAACAAATTTACATCTTATCTTATGTTGTATGTTCACATTCTTACCATATTTTAACAGTGTACCAAGCATCAGAACAATTAACCTTGAATCATTAATTATCATTTACCAACAATCAATATCTACACAGATTGTGTTCGTTACATATTTGTTTACGTCTAAGGCTTAGAATTGGTCTTCATCAACCCATATTTCTCGTAAGAGGCGACTGTGGGATCGGGTGGTCACCACTGGTCAGGCTCGCGGACGCGATTGAAACGAGGTCTCCTGACTGTGCAGGCACCTATTGTTCAAAATTACTGAAGTACTCGGGCGTATTAAACAACTAAACAAAAGGATTACTTGGGGACCGTATCAGTATTTTCGGAAATTGTGATATTAATTTATTCTTCATACTGGCAATAGTGCTACAAAATTAATAAAACATTTATTCTTCAACACACTATCATACTTAACATACAGGCAATAGTGATACAAAGTTAATAAAACATTTATTCATCAACACAGTATCATACTTAACATACAGGCAATAGTGATACAAAGTTAATAAAACATTTATTCTTCAACCCAGTATCATACTTAACATACAGGCAATAGTGCTACAAAGTTAATAAAACATTTATTCTTCAACACACTATCATACTTAACATACAGGCAATAGTGATACAAAGTTAATAAAACATTTATTCTTCAACACAGTATCATACTTAACATACAGGCAATAGTGATACACAGTTAATAAAACATTTTTTCTTCAACACAGTATCATACTTAACATACAGGCAATAGTGATACACAGTTAATAAAACATTTTTTCTTCAACACAGTATCATACTTAACATACAGGCAATAGTGATACACAGTTAATGAAACATTTATTCTTCAACATAGTATCATACTTAACATACAGGCAATAGTGATACACAGTTAATAAAACATTTTATTCTTCAACACAGTATCATACTTAACATACAGGCAATAGTGATAGCTAAATAGAACTTGTAGAACTTCTACATCACAGTAACATACTCAACAGTGGCACAGAATTGAATCAAACTTTTACTTTTAACACAATTAACACTTTAAACAAAGTAAACTGGATTGGGAATAGCACTGTATGGACAACCTTTCATGATAGCACTGAATTACAATTAAAGTCCAACTAAATGTGACATGCAATCGA